AGTTATCTGTCCCTCATCGCTATTTTCCCTTTTCTCACACCATTTTGGTCCTCTGGGGTCTGACTTGTAAGTGTCAGCAGGTCTTCATGGGATCAGCAGCACATGCTGAAATTCCCCTCAGGTGCAGAAGGGCAACACAAGGTCTGAATGCCACACAGGGCATCTCTGGGTGGGATTTGAGCCTTTTGGGCTGTCTGTGGGGTCTGTAGGGTGCAGCAGTGTATGTGAATTACAAGAGTAATTCAGTCAGGGGCATGGCACGTAGGTGAAGCCAGGCTTGGGGGCCAGCTACATGTGTGATGAGCGGTGTGAGCAGGAGGTCCTCAGAGCTGGGCCTCACCTCTGCAAGCCCTCACCCATCACCTGCAGCTTCCCCGCACACCAGACAGGGAAATGGGCATTTCTCCTGAAATAACATCACAAGATACCTTTTTTTTTTCCCCTTAGATTTTATGGGTAGTAACATCAGCCAACACTTTGATCCTATTTTCAACCCCCGTTGTTATTTTTGTTTTTTTGCTTTTAATCTTAGGTTGGATGAGGGAGGCTTTGGGAGCTACAGGGAACTACTTCCAGCAGTACCTGAGATTTGTTTCCTGTGAGTACCTTTGCTAGCGAGCTGCTGTGATCACTGGGCTGGATTTGGAGCCAGAAGCACACAGCAGCTTCAGGGCACCCAGAGAAGAAGCAGGGATTGCAGCCCTTCACGTAGTAAAAGGTGCTGTAATCCTAATGAGGAGAGATCAAGGACCTTTATAGTTACTCAAAACACAGGTCCATGCAATTCCCTGACTGTGAGGCCTGTCAGCTACATGAGAGGAACAGAGGAAGGTGCAGAAAAACCTTGCTAGCTCATGTCCAGTCCAGCCTTCACTACAAGTAATTCTCAGTTAGATGTTTCTAGCAAGAAGATCCCTCACATCTCTTAGGAAAACCAGCCTACAGTGTCACAGCCCCTACCCCACACTATTTAGGCTAGATTTTCCCTTCCCACTCGTTTCTTCTCAAACAAAGCAAAAACTCCCCAACCTTTCCCTCAATTCCCTCTCCTTTCCGAATAATCCAATACACAAAGCTTGAAGAAACAGACCTACCTCATTTTCCTCAACACCAACCTTCCAATTTTTTTTTTTTTCAGGTACCAGGATCTCTTTCAGACTCTCAAAACCAAGTGAATACACCGTCAAACCAAAGACTTCCGAAAGGCACTGCCCAACATCAGCCCCTCCAGAAGACCTGTTTGAGCTGGACAGTGACTGTGTCGCGGAGCACCTGAAGGTGGGGGTAGCCTCTTGGAGCTCTTCTCCGTGCTTTTCAGGCAGGGATTACAGTACTGTACGGTGTTGAGTGTGCTCGTATCCCATAAGAGTCGTGTCTTTTCCAGTAAAGCGCATTTAGACACCACTTACAGCACATTTAGATACCACTTATGAGATGTGGGGAAGATGCTGCTTCAGCAAAACGTTGAAATGTTGATCAGTGAGTGCACCACGGCGATGGGACATACCTGGAAAGTTGAGCCTGGCATCCCTGGAGGTTTACAAGGATGACGTCCGTGTGTAAATGTTTTACTCCGGGACCATCCTGTGCAGCTGGAAGGCTGAATGCCACCAGTCAGCCATCTCCACCCCAAGTGAAACCTCAGCTCTGCTCTACTCCCTTCCATGCCATTCATCCTTCTCACTCTCCGAGCCAGGCTGCCCTATCCAAACCTCCTGGTGGGGATAGATGTGGGGTCCTGAGCTAGGAACCCCTTGGAAAGCTGCTGGTCCCAGGCCAAATCCAACAACTTAACAGCCAGAGAGTGGCTGCTGGGCCCCCCATCACCTCAGCACAGCCCTTCTCTTCTCCCCTTTCTGCCTCTCCTCTCCCTCCCCAAACCAGAAAACATTTCTGCAGTTTCTGCAGGCATACAAGAAAACCGCCCGTGATTTATCACACAATCAGCGATGTTGTTGGCTTTTTTTTTTCGACATAGAAGCGCATTATACTGCTCTCCCCTCCTGAAATATAGGGGCAGCAAATCCTCCTGCCTGGGACTGCCTGTCTTTTTTAGCCTCATAAAAAGCCTGAAAAATGAAAGCAGGCGCAAGATTGTCAGTTTGTAGCTTTTCTCTTCCCCTCCGTCCCTTACAACCAAGGGGTGATCTTTAGCCAGTTTGCAGAGCCAAAATGTGCACCTTTGGGTTGTTAACGAGTGCCACAGCTTGGGATGAAATCAGTCACTGCTCAGGTCCCCAGGAGCTGCCATGGATGGGTCCCTCCAATCCCCCTGAGAGGCAAAACCCAAGCAGGGCCCCTTTCTGCACCTGATAATCAGCTGCTGCTCTTAATGATGATGTTAAAGGGGAGAAGCTCAAGCAAAACAAGCTGCTCTCCTTTTTTATGTTCCAGGAGAAGCAAGCAGTAATGCTTCTTACTCCTATTAGAAAGCACCAAAGCTCCTTTGCAGTGCTTGGAGCTAAGCCCTCAGCAAAGAAATGTTTCTGTTTCACTTGTCAGGACGTTGCGGGATAAATTACTCGTGCGTCTGATGGAAAGAGGGCTCCTGGCAAATTATATCATCGGGGAGCAGCTAATAACATAAAATAAAAGGAGCCGAGCTTTGCATGTGAAACGTGAAAACACGGGATTGAAGGATGAGCTTTCCTCGGTTATTTAAAGGGCTTTAATTAAAAAGGAAGCAAATGGAAATATCAAGGCCAGGTGGAGATTGCGGGGCACGATGTTTCGGGGTTGGTACAGGCATGGGGAGAGGAAGGCATGGTGTGGGGCACCCGCACCCCACGCATCCAGGCAGGTGTCCCCACACCGCTCCCCTGCCTCTCACCACCCTGGTTTTGCTCCTGCAGCTCTGCCAATCCCCCGGCCCCGTGAGGAGATGCTATTCCGATGGACAGACCTTCTTTCTCCTGTTCCCAGATGGAAGCGGCCAGGTTTAGCATCCAGAACCAACGTAGCTCATGTAGGGGGGAAAGCTGTACCTCGGGGTGGACCACGGTGGCTCTCCTCCTCCCCGGGGGTAACCTGCCTCTGGATTTGGGGCTGGCTTGCCTTTCCTTAAACCGCTTCCCAGCTACCCGTCGGGCAACGTGGCCGTGCTGATCACCTTCACTGAGGAGGCCCGGTTCACCTACCTCGTCCTGGAGGACAGCGGGTGCCTGGGCGTTAGGGCTGCCTTCGGGAGCCGCGGCCACGGGGTCTGCTTCCACCCTGACGGGCAGAGCTGGTAGGTACAGGCCCAGAGGGCCACACGTCCTCAGAGGGGTCTCGGTCCCATTACAGCACAGGGATAAAGACCACTGCAGGTCCTGCCTGCAGCCACATTGCTCTCTCATCCATCATACCACAGCCGGGTTTTCATGGCTCAACACTGTCGTGATCCCCCGCAGCATCACCACCCCTCAGCCAAGCCCTGTCCTCCACCCCAGGGCACTCCCGACCCCGCTGGACCACACTTTTTGACTGCTTCCCATCAGCATGAGCCCCAGGCTCGATGACAGCTCTCCCAGCAGCCATAAATTAAGGGCAACATGGAGTTAGCGACCACCCATGCATCTATAAAAAGCTTTTTTTTTCCTTTTTTATTCCCGCTGTTTCTTCCAAGCAGCAGCATGAGTTAATGCTGGGCTTTCAGAGGTGGCACTAAGGACAGGGGTAAGCTGTTGGCTCTGGATTCACCCCATGTTTGTCCCCAGGATCATCCTGACCCCTCGCACTGGGATCTGCTTTGACCAGGCAGGGGGGAGCCAGAAGCACTGGAGCTGGCACGACCTCAGCCGCCACGTGCACGGCCCCCCTTTCCAGCCCATCGCCGCGACACTGAACGGCCACCTCACCCTTAAGATTGTGTCCCAGGATCAGATCCACCTGTGGTTCACGAGCCACAGCCACTGCATCCGCTTCAACGTGGGGGCCCGGCTCAAGGTGAGCGCTCGCCGTGCCCGCAGCAGCCCGCCTGAGATGAGCCCCCTCGCCCTGGGGCTGCTGCACGGGGCCGGGGCACGGATTTTCAGGTGAAAAAGTCACCGTTTGGCTCAAAAGCGAATTTCCTGCCCGTGTGAATCTTAATGAAATTCCCCCTCGGGAAAGCATTTAGCCAAGATTGAAACGCTGCCGCTGACGGGTGAGGACAGCACGTCTCACAAATTCATTTTGAGACACTCGCCCTTCTCAAAACGTTTAATATAAACGTCAATACAAACACGATGCTCCTGAGTTTATCTGAACGGCATTTCACTTCACGTGAAACAGGCATCTGGGGACAGGGACAACCAAAAATCCTTCGGCATTTGTTGGCACTCAGGTTTCCCACCTCTGACCCTCCTGGGATGAGGGCAAGCATGAGAGGTTGGGTTCGAAGCGATGCTCTTCCACACAGCCTCCCCTCAGGGGTTTCAGCATTGACACTCTTCTTTTGCTCGGGCTCTCTTCGCAGCTGAAGACCCCAGGACAAGCCACCTGCTAAAAGGGCTCGAAAGCGAAGAGGAGCTCTTCCTGCAGTCCAAAAAGACTCAGCTCAGTAGCCTGCTCGCCAAAATAGAGGCAATTTTGCAGTAGTTTTGGCAGTGCCTCAGTGATATCACTTCTCGCGTTTCATCTTCTACCTGCATGAAGTACTGGAACAAAGACCTCAAGACATGCAGTGGTTACATGAGCGCTTCAGATCCACTTTTCCTTCATCAAGGGGATAAGTCTGGCACTCGGCAATGAAAATAAAGCTCCTTTTACCTGTACATCGAGTCCTTGTAACACCAGGCCCGCCCCAGCTGAAAACAGCTGATGGCTTGCAGTTCCATCAGGGGGATTACACTGAAGGTTACCACACCGATCACTGAGGGAGGAGATGGTTTCCCTCCTCCTTCAGCTGATCAGCTGGACAGGTGGAGCTCATATTGTATTCTGAGACCTTCATTACCAAGATCTTGTTTGCTGTAGGGTGTTGGCTTGGTTTTAGGGTTCAATAAGGCTAAAAATATGTGAGGGCAGGAGAAAGCAGCATTCGCAGGCACAAGGCTGGAGTTTCCTGCAGTGACCACAAGGTGTTAGTGGCAAAAACTTTCTTCCTTTTCCTACCCACATCACTTCGCCGACACCAAACAGGCACAGTTTGAGGAAGGGAGGGTTGTTTTTGGTTGCAGAGCACCCAGCCCAGTATAAGCTCTGCTGAGGGTGTGATTGTTGTGCAAAAAATAAAAAAAAGAAAAAGAAAGAAAGAATAAATGCCTGGCCAACTGCCTTGGCATTTCACTGCATTTCCCAAGATAGACAATCCAAAGGGCCAAAGCCTTTTAGCAGGCTCCAAGCATCCAGGCAGCAGTGGTCACACGCTGCTGCCTGTGCCAGTCAGCCAGCAGATAAATTCCACCAGAAAGCGGCGTTTGTCCTGAGATGAGTTCATTCAGATGACGCTGTCAAAGCCAGAGGGTGAAGGGATGCCTCACACTGACATTACAGGGAACAAAGCAGGAGCCTCTGAAGGATGCGCTCCTACAATACCAAGGGCCAGAAGAACAGTTGTGGTAGTAAGAAATGATGGGTAGAGAAGCCTGCAAGCAACAGGAACAGCTATCAAATAAAATAATCGTTGTGCTTTCAGCCACCACCTCCCAAGTTTACTCTGAGTAAGGGCCAACTAGATAAAATATGTTTTGTTACAGTCACGGTTTCTTCCCCCCTCATAAAATTTGAAGCAAAGAGAGCATTTAGCCACGCAAGACCACTTGTCGGTAAAGAAAATACCAATTTGTCAGTAAAGAAAATACAAATTTACTTTATTATAACCATAAAGAGGGATTATTTCAACAATTAGCTGTACGCTCAGCACTCAGGTATACATCTGTGCCAAATAAAGTCATTTCTCTTACTGCCAAAGAACACTTCTCTTTAGCAACGCGCTCCCTGCCTGTGCTTACAGGGTGTTTATGGTCTCTGTATTACAGTTACCTTGACAGACAAGCCTCAGGATACAGAATAAAGCTTTACTCTTTGACCAAAATAGGAGGCAACATTTTTATTTAAAAAAATTAAAAACGGCAAGTTTCTAGTCAGATAATATAAAGCATCTTAAATTAATCTTCTGAAAGTATTTACACTATTTGTAAACGTAAATATCTGAAACTGTACATGTTTAAACAAAGGGTCGTTTAGCAACAGGCTGTATAAACTGATTGCTCTGCTAATCTTCCAGCCAGCCGACCTAGAGCTGTCCAGGTATTCTAGGAGAGAAAAGACCCAAATCCCGAGAGTGCCTCCTGCGAGGGTTTACCCTTCACATCTCCTCTGTACAATGTATTGAGTCCGCCACAGCTTTGTGCAGTGACCATGCAATCCTTCTGTATAACTTTGTAAAAAAAACAAATATACATATATTACAGCGCACTGGGCAGTATTTTACAGCCTGCGATTCTACATAAGTAAAAAGAAAAACCAAAAGGGCAGGTTTGCTTCCTTGTTAGTTCCTTAGTTAATTTTAAGGAGTCACGTAAGGTCCTACGAGTACCACTTGCGTACCTCAGCACCACTGCCTGCAACACTTCTCATGGTAGCTTTAAATCCTACTGTTTTAGTCTCCAGCCACGTGATTCGTAAGAGGAAAAACATTAAATCAAAACACCACTGATGTGCATGGAAGTGTCTCCGTAATTAATATTTCAGAAAGAGTTTTTACGAGTGAGTTGAGAGGCTGCCACATACCTCACCGTGGTTTTCTTTCGCAGTGCTGCACGATCAAGATCTGCACACCGAGATACTCTAGAGCTGCTTTTAGTGTTTCACTCAATTAATGACAGAGGGGTTCGCATTCAGCTTTCTGAAATAAGGATCAATTAATGCCTACTGATCACAGCACGCTGCTTACCAGTAACTGAGCACTCAACCCCTGCTAACGATGATGATTTGACAGTGCTTACACATCCATTTCTGGCATCCCCTGCACACCCCCACTAGCATTTGCTCCAGCCCACAGAGGCTGTAAAAGTTCCGGTCCCAGCGCCCGCTTTGACTAATCCGACACCACCAGTTGATCTTGGGTACGGCAAAAATATACAAAAAAAAACAAAAAACACCTCTAACCTAAAACTCTAAGTACCTGAGAATCTCAATGCTACGCTTTGCTGTAAAGCATCTGAAAACATGCAGTTCCCTCAGAAACAACAGAAATTATATTGCACAGCTTTCCATTGCAAATCCCAAGAATCCGAGATTCTTTACACGGAGTAAGGCTAGAGCATAAAACTTCACGCCAGGCCTCGCAGCTCTTAATCACCAGGGTACAAGAAGAAAACAGCACATCCAGTGTTTCAAGAAACGCTTCAGATGTAGAAAATAAAGTTTTCCCAGCTAAAAACCTCTGAATTATGTTCACGCACTTGGTAAGTTATCAGGATTCTCAGGGGTGTTAAAAAATTGGAGCATGCCTGCTTAAGTCAAACGGTCGTATCAACGTGCTTATCTCCAAGCCTTGCAAATACCACTGCTCCCATTTTATTCCCTGCACTCAACTTCCAGTGGGTTTTTTTGAAAGTGCTTCTCTTCACTCCATTAAAGTATGAAAGGATTTTAGATACAAAAAAAAAAAAACAGGACTTCAAGAATATCTGGAGAAGGCAGTAACTGAGCTTCCATAAGAGTGATCAGCAAAAGGTTTGTTTTGTTTGCTTTTTCCCCCCCCTTCTCAAGCCAGCAAATAGGAAGACCTTTAACAAATCAATAAAACTGATTTCTTTTTTTAAACTTTTTCCTAAAACAGGGAGAAACAGCCTGGAGGGTTTTAATGCAGACTGGACTGCACGGGGGATCCTTCATTTACTTCAAAATGTCTGCAAATGTCTTCACGTCCCCTTCACTGTCTGCCACTCAGCTGAAGTTTGTCTGAAGCAGCCTCACTGGCTACTTGGACATCGACAAAAGTAAGTTCACCTGGAAGACAAAGCAAAAGCCCACATTAGACCGAACAGCTAAGTTCAGGAGCTGATGTCTCATATTTTAACCTTTAAACAGGAATTCATGGAAGCACATAGAGACTTATCTGAAGCAGAACACCCATAGAACTGGTCAAAACTTCCAGTCAAATCCCAACTCACAGGCTTTGTAAAACGCAGCTGTTGAGAAGTCTTTTCAGCAGTCACAACCTATTGTTTTAGATTTTTTTAGGATGACTTCTGGCTTTGTCAACAAACTCCATAAAAATCTGTGCACTGGAGAAAATGTCAGCATCCATCTTAGATATCTGAAACACATTTGGGGTCCTTTGCAATCCTTGGTTCCCACAAACTAGAATATTGCTTCCAATGCACTTCAGCTTGTGGAAATGATCCTCAGGATCAACAGATAAACGACATTAGAAGAAGCCAACTCCTCTAGGACAACCCCACCTTTTCCAGTGCATCACTCCTACTCTGTGCTCCAGGATAGTTAACACACATCCCTGTGGCCACGTTCATTGTGGGCAAACTCCTCTACCACATTCAGTTTGAATACTGGCAGCCCGTGATATTAAGATTTTAACCATACTCCCTGGACTCCTAAAGTCAAAGACAGATTTTTGAAAACCTACTTGTTTTTGTCAGAGAATTCTCAACCCCACTCACCTCTTGAGAAGGGTTATGTAGGGTTAAATTTCAATTAAAAAACTGCACATTTTCCCAATCCAATTTACTTCAAATACACCCTTGTAGCTCTTTCCCCTACTTCCCAAACATAAAAAGTTGCTGCTTCTCGTATTTGTCAAAAGCGAGACCAACTTCACGTGCACAGATTTTTTTTTTAAGCTTGTTCTCTAGCTGTGGTATCTCTTCAAAAAGACAATGCCCAAAAATGGCAAGACTCTGCCATGATGTTGTACAAACCAATCCACAAAAACATCAGTCACTGCCTTCAATTTAAAAAAACACTCTATTGGATATTCATAACAAACAAATGAGCAAAACCTTTTATTTGAGACCCTGGAGTTCAGAGAAAGTCCTGAGTTTAATCAGCCAGGATTAAGGAGGATTTAAAAAAATATCTGAACGCTAAAAGTACGAAAAGTGAAAAGTTCATGTTTAAAAATAAAGACAGTCACATGAAAAAGCAATTAATAAAACAATATATTCGGTACATACCTGTTCCATTGAAGGACAGGCTATGATCTGGAGATCTTCATTACTAAATTCTTCCTTTAACAAAGCATGGAGTTTCTGAAACATTTGCTGAATGTTGTTCTTTTAAAGGAAAGAAGGAAAAAGTCATTATTAAAAAAAAAAAAAAAAGCACAGAACTCACCCCAAACATTGACCAGAGTAAGTACCAGAACCCACCTCTGTCCCTGCAATGGATACTATGCAGGCTGAACATAAGAGGAAACAGGACAATTTTGGTTTTAGGCTAAAAGATACCGTTAGATTTTTTGATTTCACAGGCCTTTTCAATAGGTTTCGCACCCAGAGAAAAACATGCTGAGGTACATAGAGCAGTACTCACCCTAACTGGCTTGAACAAAATGAATTCCGTATCTTTATTGGACAAGTATAAGGACATGCTTCGTAACGTTGATGGCAGCTTTGTTTTTATTGTCTTGTAAGTGGAAGAGACCATATCGTTGATCTTTGCTGAAATAAG